AAGAGAGGTGTAGGAGGTGGATGGGGAGGAGGGTGTGGTGTATGAGATGGATAGGGGGTGTAGGAGGTGGATGGGGAGAAGAAGGGGTCTAGGAGGTGGATATGGTTTAGGACCATGGAGAAAATGACTGATGATGAGGAAGCGAAGGAGAAGAATGGGGAGGAGGATGTGGACGGGAAGAGGGGGGATTGGGTAAGATGAGGCGGCAGGGAAGAAGAAGCTGGGGGTTCGAAAATGTTGATGCTGATGACGAGAACAATTAGAAGAAGAAGACTGATTACGAGGAAGAGGCTTTATGATGAGGATGAGGAGGATGCAAAGAAGGCTGCTGAGAATGCGGATTAGTGCAACGAGCAAGCACGCAGACTCGACTGAGAGATGACGAAGGGAAGAGGCGATGAAGAGCTGATGACGAATGTTTTATACCCCCCAAGAGAGCCTCCGCACTCGAAACACGCGATTCATCGAAAGCCCGATTCCGTCTCTCTTCTCTTATTAATCGCTCTCATCTCTCGCCGATGTTTGCGTGATTCCCCCGGCAGGGGGCGCTTGGCGGCGGCATCGATTTTGCGCGCAATTAAACGCCGGCGAGCAGCAATCAAAGACCCCGGCCGCCGCCGCCGCTCATTTTTGTAAGACGAAGCAGAAGTGTATCTGATTTATGTCTCCGTGGCTCGGCAATATGGTTTTTCCTCCCCTTCCCTCCTTCCGCCATCGCTAGCGTTCCGTACGATCGAGACCGCGAGGGGAAGTCGGCGTGTGTGTGTGTGTGTGTGCGTGCGTGCATGCGTGCGTGCGTGTGTGTGTGTGCGCGCGCGAGCTTGCTTGTGTGTGTGCGTGCGTGCGTGTGTGCGCGCGTGCGTGCGTGCGAGCTTGCTTGTGTGTGTATGCGTGCGTGCGTGTGTGTGTGTGCGCGCGCGAGCTTGCGTGTGTGTGTGTGTGCGCGCGCGAGCTTGCGTGTGTGTGCGCGAGCTTGCTTGTGTGTGTGAGTAGTTTGTGTATGCGTGCGTGTGTGCGTGCGTGCGAGCTTGCTTGTGTGTGTGTGCGTGCGTGCGTGCGTGCGTGCGTGCGTGAGTGTGTGTGTGCGCGCGCGAGCTTGCGTGTGTGTGTGTGTGCGTGCGTGCGTGTGTGCGCGCGCGCGAGCTTGCTTGTGTGTGTGAGAGTTTGTGTATGCGTGCGTGCGTGTGTGCGTGCGCGTGTGCGTGCGCGTCTCGTGATGCTGAGCTGAATGCAATTGCAGACATTCGGTTTTAAAGCGATGATGGATGGCAGAAAATCGTGCCGTGGAATATATATACACCGCGAAATGCGAATGCACCGAGAGCGTTTTCTGTTCTCGTGGTTTCGCATCATTACTGCTTGCTTGCCGTTCGATCTCACTCACAACCGGAACGATTTTGCCGGCGGTTAGCAACTGCATTCGGACCACAGCAGCTATATCGCTGCTTCACGAAAGAACGGATTTTGACAGGATGCGGTGTGCGTGTACTGCCGCCGGCCAATCGGAAATGTCTGTCAAACCTGGGGCTTGCGTTGAGCTGAGGTCTGATTACATCGTCGTTTATGCATGGATACGGACATCTAGCCGTGAAGATATTTCTGTGTGAGAAGTGACAGGTCGGTCGGTTGGCTTTGTTAGGCGTGCAAATGAAATTCGTCTGCGTTTCCTTTTGCTGTTCCTCTGCTGCATTGATCATACCGTTATCGATTATTCAGCATTGGCGAATCTTTCATTCGATTGTCATTTCCCGTCCTCTTTCATGCTGCGCCTCCCTCTCGCTCGCCTCTCTCGCGCGCGCTCTCTCCTCTCGCCCGAACGCGTGTGCGTGCGTGTGTGGACGAGTTTGTATCACCTTCCTTACCTATCTGAATCATACACCTCAGGTTACCTCCCCGTACATCTGCTTCAGTCATGTATCACATGAGCTAATATGCGTGCATCATGGCCAGTATGTCATGCAGTAACTATGGAGAATGTAGAAGCAGTAGTAGCAGCACTGCACCACCACGACCGCCACCAGTGGTAGTAGTAGTAGTAGTAGTAGTAGTATAGTAGCAGCAGCAGCAGCAGCAGCAACAACAATAACAATAACAACAACAAAAACAAAACACAACAACAACAGCAGCAGCGGCGGCGGCGGCACCGCTGGCTTCTCAGCCTCCGCTGGCTTCTCAGCCTCCGCAATGCGTTCCTCATCCTCTGCTCTTCTATCAATTATGCGTCGGTCATCAATTACGATGGCACGCGCGTGCATTAGTCGTCGCAAATCGTCCCGACAGACAGATCGGTCAGCCGCATCCTCGCGGGACGTTGCCACGGTAACCGATCCGCATCCTCCGTCTCACTGGCGACAGCATCCGAGCCGGATCGCGGCGAACACCGGGCGGATGCGACGAACAAGAAGCCATAAATCCATGAAGCGATGAGGAGCAGCCGCTCACGCCCCTGCATCCGCCGCGGAAGCTGCTCGCGTGGCACGCACGCACGCACGCACGCACGCTGGGGAGGAACCGTAAAGCCAACACGGGGAGAAAGTCGCCGAGTCAACAACATTCGCTCGAGTAAACACTCGCGTATGCAAAGCGAGAGAATTCGCCACTCTCTCGCGCGGCGGGCGGGGGAGTATAAGAGGAGGAGGGCGTACGAGCGAGCGCGTATTTGCGCTGAGCTTGAGCGTGTTGTGCTAGACAGCGGCGGCGGCAGCAGCGGCAGCGGCGGCAGCGGCGGTTAGCGACGCCGCGTGCTCGCGATGACGCCGCGTGCTCGCGATGACGCCACGGGTTTTTCACGCGCCGCGACGGCTGAAGATGGCTTAGAATCGCATTAGATTGGCATAACCCTAACCCCCCCATATATTGATACCTAATTGATATCGATCCACCCTTTCTTTATCTCTTTTATATCACGACATTAATGACATTAAAGTTGGGAACGCTCCTAATGGAGCATCACCCTAAACTCGAGATGTAAACGAATTTACTTGTGGTGGTGGGTTTGCCGTGGCGTATGCTTTGGTCATGGAGAGTAGAGTGAATCTATAGATTCTGTCTACAGGTGAACGAACTATGCACACGCGCAAAGGAAGCACCATAATGAGTATAGATAGCTTCTAGCAACCGCGTAGTAATTATATCAAGAGCTATCAGGAGTACATGTTTGAACTAGATTCTCGCTAAAGTGCAGCGAGCACAACGAGTACGCGCGCGCACATTTGCTCTTTTAAACGCGATTCATTACCGTGACTCTACGTATAGCACGGATCATAGTAATGCATTCCCCTGAGATAGGTGTATATGATATATGCGGTAATGGATATGATGTGTCGCAGGGGAGCTGTGTGGTAATGCAATCGTTACTGATCACATTAGTAATACCATGAAACGATATATACGGAGAGAGAGGGTGGAGAGGGAGTGAGAGAGATATATAAAACACACGCACGACACGCACGGCACGCACGCACGCACGCACGCACGCACACATACACAGACCACATGCACCCACGCACACAGATATATATATATATATATATATATATATATATATATATATATACGGAGAGAAAGAGAGAGGGGGAGCGAAAGAGAAAAAACGAGAGCGGGTATATCAGTACACGCATAGGCTCATGTTTGTGTACACACTGAGAGAGCCCCGGCGGCAGACAGACAGGCAGGCAGGCAGGCGTACAAACAGGCATATGAAAACACACGAACATGCACACACACGCCCGCACGCACGCACAAGGGGAGACAGCTGCATCGGCAACAACAATCATACGTTTCCAGCAGCTATTGCCGAGTTTATGGCGAACAATCGTCGCGCATTTCATTTGGCATGTGTGTTTGCGAAGCGCGGTCATCGAGCATGGCTAGTGCCCCCTCAGTGATGCTACACACTATATAACACTCAACGTTTATTACTCTTGCCGCGTGGCGTGGTGGGGGGGGGGGGGGGGTCTCCCCCCTCGGCGTCGTAAACACACACGCAATATTTACGATCCGTTTCATTGCGCAAATAGACAAACACGTTAATGATGAATTGATCTGCGGAGGTTTTTTTCATTACCATGTTTGCACGTGTCTGCTTCGAGCTGTTACTCAAAAGACACACCGAGTGTATGTGCATGGTCCGTGTGATAAATTGGTGTGAACTAGCAAACGAGAATCATTTAACTGACTCATCCACGAGCGGCGGGGGGAGGAACGCACATGGGCACAGGTATAGCGTAGCCCTATATCGTGGGTCCTTTATTCGCTCGACGCCACACGGCGCCATCTTTGTTAGTTCGGGTCAATTTCGACCATCTCTGCGAGAGACTGACAGCTAGGCAGTGTGTCACCCAGTGTTGTCATTACGAAATTGCGCAATGTAGTTAACAGCGTATATTATAATAACGTGACTCGTGTATAAATACCTACCCGGAAGGGTAGGACTACACATAGCATGTGGTGATGTTTACAGTACTTATATACACATTTAATAACTGGGCCTGTTAGTAGTTATTCAGTATTCGGTATTGTTATTATTAAGTAAGCAATATGTACATGATCATCTATATAATACAATAGTTTCATACTAGTCAGCCGCGACTAATATAGTAACTACAGAGGCCTCAGAGGTAGTTAGGTACATGGAAATAGGTCGTAGATGTTATTCAATAGTAACTACTCGAGTGGAAGTATATATTACTCATAATGGGGGAGAAAGAGGTACGTAGAAGCAGAGTAATGAGTGATTACGTAGTAGTATACCTAGCACTCGACCGTATGTACACTGTGTGTGTGTGTATTACTCGATTATATTCAAGGTCCATCGTAGGTATAACGTAGTATAGTATATTATCAGGAGTCTATTGATAGACTCCTGATATTATTTCCCGATGATAGCTAACATTGTAAGTTTCTAACATAGTATGTATAACGTATAGTAGTATATACTATTACCCGATGATAGCTAACATTGTCGACTCACCCGCGCGTGGCCTCGCTCTGTGTTGCAG